GATCCAAAATTCTTATCCTAAATCTTTAGTAAACAGAATTTTATTTTGTGAAAGAACAAACTTTCAAAATAATAATGAAGAAGTTGAACATAACAACGTTATACCTTCATTCATATATAAATCACTCCCATATATTCAAGAATTGACACCAAAATTAATTAATGTATTCCGAAATAATAACCTCAAAATATCTAAAACAAATGTCACTTCTATATCTAAATTATACAGTAAACTAAAAGCTCCAATTTCAAATAAACAAAAATCCAATTTAGTATACAAAATTTCTTGTATGGATTGTTCTAAAACATATTTAGGACAATAAAAGCAACTGTAGACTTAATGTTAATTCTTGTGCATTAACAGAACATGTTAATTCGGAGGATCATAAAATGAATTTTGAAAACCCACATATTTTAGATAGAGAAATCAATACAACTAAAAGAATATTTTTAGAAAAGATACATATCAATTACGAAAACATCCAATGAATAAATGAACTGATATTGAAAGTCTCAGCAAAATTTATACATACCTACTGAAATGTGACAAAGAAAATAAAAGATCTAGTAATTCTAGTATTATTCAGAATTTTCCAACTTGACATTGTCGGTGAAATTTTGATCAACTGTCATTATTTCATGTTTTTTCTATCTGTTTTTGAACCATTCTATATTTTATTCTTACGTTAGTATGTTCTCCATATATAATTAAATAGAAGTTATAAAGCTTCAAATCCTTTTTGTGACTTACATTAATATTAAAATAGTGAAAATATAGGAAAATTAGTTGCATCGTCAAAAAAAAAATATAAATATGTATATATAAATACGAAAGTCATTGAGTGTCTTATTGTAGAAACCGAAGTTAATAATCGGACATAGCACACAAGGAAGTGGCAAACCACAGACACGTGTTGCGGGCTTTTGGCCCATCATCAGTATGGTGCAGCCAAGTGCAAGAATGGGCAACACTTGGTTACCAAAATACAGAAATACAAATGCACGGAGCCACCAGCAGGAGCCAACCGCACATTTGTGGTTTCAGTGGATAGATCTTGTGTTGTGTTTACAAAAAACGCAGGTAGCTATAGCTGCCTCCTTGGTGGGTTCTTTTGTGTTGTTTTTTCGTTTTTGGCAACCAAGTGTTGCCCATCTCTGCACTTGGCTACACCGCGCTGATGAGGCCAATAGCCAGAAACACGTGTCCGCGGTTTGTTGCCCATCTCTGTACTTGGCTACACCGCGCTGATGAGGCCAATAGCCAGAAACACGTGTCCGCGGTTTTCCAATAATTTTTCTTGAGTGCTGTTCCGACTAATCCTTTCCTTTTTGAATTAAATCATAGACACTCGATAACACCTCCCTCTATATTTTTATCCTGGGCCCGGAAGTCACGCAGGTAGCTGTAGCTGCCTCCGTGGTGATGTTAGGATATCCTAGAAATTCTAGTTCTCCTAATTGAAATCACAAATGTGCGGTAAGCTCCTGTTGGTGACTCCGTTCGTTTGGGATGTTTTTTCATTTTTGGCAACCAAGCGGTTTGCCAATAATTTTTCTTGAGTGCTGATCCAACTAATCCTTTCCTTTTTGAATTAAATTATAGACACTCGATAACACCTCCTTCTATATATTTATATCCTGGATCCGGAAGTCATGCAGGTAGCTGTAGCTGCCTCCGTGGTGATGTTAGGATATCCTGGAAATTCTAGGTCCCCTAATTGAAATCACAAATGCGCGGTAGGCTTCTCTTGGTAACTCCGTTCGTTTGTGCAGATTTTTCGTTTTTGGCAACCAAGTGTTGCCCATCTCTGCACTTGGCTACACCGCACTGATGAGGCCAATAGCGAGAAACCCGTGTCCGCGGTGTGCCAATAATTTTTCTTGAGTGCTGATCCGACTAATCATTTCCTTTTTGAATTAAATCATAGACACTCAATAACAAATCCTTCTATATATTTATATCCTGGACCCGGAAGTCATGCAGGTAGTTTGTGGCACACTATAGTTGTTGAGGTGACACTCTGACTTTATGTTTGCCATTTTGGTGTTTTGATATCGAGTGTTCAGGTAACTCGTTATCCAATGTATTACTGAACCCGAAAAACCATATTTCTTTAATTTCAATATTAATATTTCGCGATCGATTATTGCGAATGCCATTTTCATATAAAAAAAACTATACATATTCCAACTCCAGGTCTATCCAAAGGATTCATCATGTCTCATGTAACAAGTTGCATTGCTGATTCACACGAATGAGATTTACGAAATCCGCTATTGACAGAATGGTACTGGATACAGCCTGTAAAGGTATCAGGAGTTTGGATTCCCTTCCCTGCATTGTCCGTCGCCATGAGAGAGAAGGAATTGGAGCATTTCTCTTTAGGGCAGCTGCCTGAGCAGTTGATGAACTTGGTATAGTTTTCGACACTGAACGAAGTGACCACAACTCTGTCACCGAGTTGGAATCCGTTCAGCAAAAAGCTCATATAAAAGCCGCAGAGATAACCTCATTTTTGGGGAAACAAGGATGAACCAATGCATGGGGTCTTCTTCAATAACATTGAACATATTGGCTTATCAAAGCGCCTGACTTTTGCTTTCCTCAGGTCGAGTGGGCTGAAATCGGAAACTGAGGGGTTCATCATGGCTTGCCAGGATGGTGCGCAGTCGCGTGATGGGTATAGAAGTTCATGACACAAGGTACAGGGCCTGCCGCAAAGCGCCCGAGACCCCAATGCACCTAATGCCCAGCATATGCGATCTCGGCCTATATCCATCGACATAACGCGGCCTTAAGAGTGCTATATTACCATTTACGGTACTCTTACGGTATTGACGAGACACCGGAGTTGCCCTACGCTCTGGGGGTTATTGAATCCGTTGTGGGGAATGAGTAGTACCGAATTTATTGGAACTATTCGTTCCTCATCCTCAGGCTCATACAAGGTAATACTCCTGATGTAGTCCTTCTCGACCACCAGAGCAAGACGATATTTATCGTGGAGCTTTCAGCTCCTGGCGCGACGAATATCGTCCGAAAAGAGGAGGTGAAACGGATAAAATATCGAAATTTTCTCTTCGAAATCCGCAGACTCTATCCAGACCACTCTGTCAAGATAGTTGTTCTGATTATTATTAGAGTCCTTGGTGGAATTATACCTTCTCTACTCTCGAATCTTAAAAATCATACCGGCCTGCGTCGCTAAGGCTGTCATTCTTGGCTCACTGCGCTTGCTCAGGGACATGATTCTCGGAACTTCTCGGAACCAATGATCACTTACCCCACGTTGTGGGGAGTAGTCGTTGGTTGATAATACTGGCGCGCCCTCCCAAATGTATCGGAGCTCGAGGGATAGGTAAAAGAATAATAATAAAATAAAAAAATAGTAATATTTTATTTTCCATTTGACAATTAAAAATTGTATTGGATTTATTAATATTCTTCGTCAGACTGTCAGCCAAATTCAACTTCGATGTGACATATTTCAGAATGATTTGCTTTTCTTCTATCAAATCTCATATAAATAATAACTTCAAATCTGTCCGATGTAATATCATTTTCAGCAAGTTTCATATCGCCTTAGCTGTCTATAAAAATCGGAAAACTCTTTATGAAGTACGTATTCTGAGGTATTTCTTCTGTCAGTTTCCGAAGAAATATAAATTCCTTTTCTGCTTCAGTGATTTCCGCCCCAATCTGCATATGAATAAGCAGTTGCAATTTTACTTTATTTTCGATATACTAATCCATATCTTTTCGTCGCATTCAAGTACCCCAAAATATGCTTCGTGCATTTCCAGTGATGCTTGGATGAACAGTGATTGATTTGACTCATGAAAGTCGTTGCAAAAGCCAAGTCCGGTCTTGTTGTTGTTGCCAAATCACCTTATGGTAAAGTCGTTTCTGTTCGTCGTATAGCAAATTTTCGTGATCGTTTATGTCACACTTTAGATATTTATTTTGTAATGAAGTTGATAGCACAGCCAGCTATCGAAACGGCTCGCATATAATGAATATATATGAATATATATGAATATGAATATAGTGAAAACACTATAATTTTAATTCGTACTGTTGTAGGTCTCGACATACTGGTTCAAAATGTAGGAGTCAATCCTGCTCCTCTTACAAAAGTGTTTGATTGTGTAGACGAAGCATGGGATAAAATATTCGACGTAAACGTCAAGACATCGTTTCTTCTCTCGAAGGAGGCAATACCATTATTGAAGCAGAGCAATGCTGGCCGGATAATCTACATATCAAGTCAAGCAGCATTTCACCAATTTGCTAAATTGGGTGCTTATGGAGTGAGCAAAGTAGCACTATTGGGGTTGACGAAATATGGTTCACTTCATCTGGCAGAATTTAACATAACTGTTAACTGTGTAGCCCCGGGGTTGATCGATACCCGATTTGTAAAGACTATAAAGGAAGACCCAGAATTTCAATTCTTACTCAAATACACGAAGCTGATTCCTCTTGGAAGGTAAAGTGAAAAAAGATTCAAATGACATTTCAATCGACACCTTCGCATTAGAAAATTCAAAGATGCATAGAAACCCTGGTGTTTAAACGCCAAGCGCCTCTTCGAATGGAATTCCAATGTACGTTAGATCCGTTCATTTTATGAGGAATCAGGAGTGCCGTAGATAGTGTTTTCTTTAAAATATTTTACATTGGCGAAGAGCGGGTTGAGTGATTACAGCATGCTATTTCTATGCATCTTGGTAAAGTCATATGATTCAAATGTCAATAGTGCAGGCAATATAAATGAGTCAAAGTGTAAAGCTGACAATAATTCTCACAGAAGTAAAAATAGGTATCTACAGCTCTCAAAAAACTCTTATGAGAGAGATATAAAAAGTCGTCACCAATCCCTTGCGTGTGCTAAAAATGTATTGAAGGTCGAAGATTTTTTTTTCGGGTGTTAGTGAATGTTTTCGTGAAATATATGAAATGACAGTTATAGATCATTTGTGTTATTTTTTTTATACGGACCGCCTTTCAAATCCAAAGATATTACCATTTCGAATATCGAAAATACTAATATGCACTTCTACGCGAATCGTGAAGTTAGAATTGCTATTAAAACACTAATATTTCAAAACGCGCTGACAAAGTACCTATTACCTCTTTGATCATAAGTAACACCAATGAATTTCATGATGAGAAGGTACCGTACATCATGTATTATTTTGATCCATGTGTATTACCGAGTCATTTCAGTATGAAAGTGAAAAACTTAACAGTTCCGACGAATTGAGTAACAGTATTCAGATTGTTTGATAAACATTTCTTCTCCACAAGTCTTCATTACAAACGAAATTTAGTTTCTTGTCGCTAAATATGAAGTACTAGATTGTACTAGATTGTACAGAATTTGGATTTTGATAGAAACACGGAACAATAAAAGAGTACAACTACGAGTATCTACTGCCAACATCTGCTTCTGCTCATCAACACTTATATCGCACTATCAAGTATGGCAGGTTAATCAACTTGACGCAGAGAAATTGGAAATGAATTGATAATATTTTCGAGCCAAATCAGTCTGCTACAGAAAAAACTCTTTCCCAATGTGTATTCATTGACAGTCATTATTACTCTAAAATTGAGTCAGATAAAATAAATAGGGACTCTTATGATATCGATGACAAAATAACTAATGGGTGTTTCTGTTTGGAATAATTGTAACATATTTAACAGAGAGGAAATAAATAGATATCACAGAGTAGTAGGTAACCTTTTGAATCAAATTCAAATTTTGCTTATCAATATCAATAGTAATATTTCCAAATAAAACATAATTGTTGGATGAAAATAAATCACAATAGATCATGCAGTATACCTACCTACCAAGAATATCACTAAAAAATATGTATACGTAGCGGGCATTTTGATAAGTCCGGCCACTATTAATAATGGCCGATCTGTATTCATAATGCCCGACTCAATTGGGAAATGTGATTAAAACAGCATGATTAATCACTTTTTCCAGCCATTATGAATAATGCCCACCCTATCTTGGGCAAAGTAATAAAATAGATGAACTGTAGTGTTTTTGTTTATTAAATGAAAAAAATCTTACAAAATTTTCCAGCCATTATGAATAATGCCCACCCTATCTTGGGCAAAGTAATAAAATAGATGAACTGTAGTGTACTTTTATTTTGATAAAAATATTACTCAAGAANTCTGGCCTTCTCGATTACTGGATACCTACCACATTTTTTTATCCCGTATACCTTCTTCTTTTCTGTTGAAATTGTTAGGATGCTTATAGATCTCAGTGGATTCCCTACGAAATTGTGCGCGGTAATGCATTGAATTACACATAACATCACTTTCTTCGTATTTCATTACATTGTCTGTTTCTACTAGGACATGTTGTGGATTTTTCCGATTGCATGAGGCGGCAGCTATGCTTGTGTTTTTGTATCCTGGTGTTGATGCTGCGTTTGGTAGTTCCCTTGTTAACTCAGCCACACGAACAGGGAATCATGTAAACACCGGCGGAAGTCAGAGGTTCTCTCTTGTCGTTGGCCGATCTGATCATGTTGCGTAGTTGATTAGTCGGCTTATGAATGTTCTTAATGTTGTGACGTTTAAACAGTTTCACAATGTGGCAAATAGAATGTACCTACCACTGGCGGCTATATTGTAGACGAAATTGGAATATTTCTTCTCCTAAGATGTAGAGCACGTTTGATTTCTTGGGCTATGAAGCCATTGGCCTGTAAAGCTTGGTCTAGGTGACGAAGATCTTCAAGTGTGGTTGTCCAATTCTAGTGGCACAATCAACAAGTGTTTTCATTATAGCAGGCTATTGCTCTGAATGGTGGTACGTGTTCTTGTTGAGATAACGATCAGTATGAGTAGGTTAGCGATAAACTGTAAGACCTAGTTTTGCATCAGTTGATCCGTAGAAAAGAACATCTTAAAATGGTATCTTTCCTTTGCTTTCTTTTTCTCATGGTAAACTGGATGCGAGGATAAATGAAAATTATGTGGCGTAGTTTTTATGCTTGTTCCTCGTGGCTTCAAATGACGAAAGTGTCATCAACATGTCATCAGCCGTTTTGATGGAGCGATGCTGAACACTTTCTTCTCGAGATCTTTCATGTAGAAATTCATAAATAAAGTTATACTATTGGAAATATGTAGTGATGAGAACATGGTTGAAAAGAGCTCGGATGTATGAAAACTTGTTTCATCTGCTGCTTAGTCTCCTTGACTTGTACCATGATGAAGGGAGAAACGAAATCGAAACTAACCAGAATATCATTTGACTGCAGAATAAAAGTACTTATTTTCTCGGATGAAGTGAGGTGAGTTTCTGATGTAATTTTTATTTCCTACGTATGACTGCAGCAGGTTCGTTAGGTATTTCGCAAGATGATAAGAAAGTGGACCAATAGCGTTAACAAATGGTCGAAGTGGAAAGTTCGACTTGTGAATCTCAGGAAGGACGTAAAGTTTAGGTGGTAGGACGAAAATGGTGCTTGTCATCAATTGAAATCGAAGAATATTCGATGAGTTGTTTGACTTTCTGAGACCTTACCATCTACCAACTGATGTTCTGAATTCGTCGTTCAAGTTTTTTCATTCCGAAGATTTTCATTTTCTGTAAAACAATCAAGTTTCTGCCTGGGTGTCTGTCTACTGATATGATATTCGTATAAATTCATGTTATTTCGATAATTGATCTTTGATCAACATAATATACTTATTTCCGGTGCTACTGTTAGAAAAAGAAGAGAAAAAGAAGATCAAATTTGTTATTTCAGAATCCACCAACCTGATATAAACCACATATATGGCTTCTTGAAGTTTATAGTCCTTTTTGTCAAAAATATACGCGGCTTCTTTGAATTTTCTCCTAAACCAGTATTCCTCTTTGTGGATGATTTCAGTTTGAGCCCACTTGATGTTATGTTGATGAGTCCGAACATGCTCTGCTATTCCGGATTTGCTGGTTTCTCCTCGCTGTGTGTGTTTCTTGTGCTCAGCAATTCGAACTTTCAATGGCCTCTTAGTTTCACCGATATATGATTCTCCGCACTCGCAGGGTACCCGGTAAATGCAATGCTTGGAATCGCAGTCCGCGTTTAGTGGCCTGGTTTTTGTAAGGCTACTACGGATAGTGTTCCCAGATCTCAAGCAGGTCCTGATGTTGTACTTGGACCCAATCCTCCTTATCGTTTTCGATAATCCTCTGAGGACCATCAGAAGAGTTCTTCACTGCTGTTACCTCTTGTGAGTGATTTTGTTCCACCCCGAGGTAAGTATACGTCTTTCCGGCATCCAAATGGTGTAGGATGCTTTCATCTACGAGCTGCACATCCTCTCCGTAGTCCGCGCATCGTCCTCTTTTGAGATGGACCATTGCACATTTGTCTATTCCGAATTTCATACCGATAGCATGCGTGTACTCTTCCACACCCTCAAGGACTGATGGAGATCCTTCTCTCCAGAGAGCATAAAGTTTAAGACCATTCATATAATGGGGCACGTTATTATTATCATTCTAGAATACCAGCAGCCATTCAGTGAATTGAAACAGACTAACAAGAGCATTCACTGTGACCTCTTCACGAGAATCCATTTTTAATTGCCATGCAAACTATTACGAAATTTGATACGTCATAGCCCAGAAAAATAAATAGTGAAGAAAAGGTTATATCATGGGCATGCTGAACAAAATTATCACGTTACCAGAAAGAAATTTTTAGGCAAAATTACATTATTCGAACACTTCCACGGGTACCTATCGACCAGTGTGCTCTTTAGATGGAATAAACTACAAAATGCATGAGTGTTAGGTTGCAAGGTAGTTAGAGTGATGATCAGTGTGAAAGTATGTCGAATATTACGCATTATCCAAGAGATCATAATCCAAATGGCAGTGCAAGAAATGCCCCAAAGTCTTCAAAAACATGGAAGTTAGGTACCACTCAAAAAGAATCACATTGCAAAGATCTGGTACATCTCACAACGTAAGATCATATTCGAAAGGATGAGATTAAAAAATCTGAAATAAAGACAATGATTTGAAGTTGAAGGCTGCAATTTTCAAAGCTTAGTGGGAGTTTCTAATCCTAGACCATGATCTACTCTATCGCAATTGGGAAAGTCTAAAGAAACAAAGATAGTGCACTAATTCAAGAGAGGTTCTATGAGGGGTCGTCATTAACGCCGTGACGCGAAGAAATGGTGTAAACGATGCAACCTTTGGGCTTCGAAAAAAAACCACTACCGGAATCGGAAAGAATGGTTCAGTATCATCTGAGAGAATCGTAGTAAATACACTTGGACGTATGACCACTTTGACCTGACAAGGTCAAAAAATAAATGATGGTACAGCAAAATCGTTCTTCAATAACTTGGAGTGTCTTGGAACTACTTTCCGATTAGGAACAAAATTTTGAGTAGAGCAGACGAGTTACATAGAATGAATTAAGTTGAGAAGGTAATATTACACCACTGGCTGTCGGCTATAATTCACCACTGCACACTGTCGAATAACTTATCATGACATCACACCGTCACTACTGTAAGTGTTAGGTCAAAAGTGAGTGGGCCTATTCGACCCTACACCGCAACCCGCAAGGGTTTATCGTGGCTCACACATATTCAAACTCGACCAAATAAACCCAGCTATTTGACGAAGCCGATTAGTTCATATCATGGGTGATCTTTCAGGTCAGATGGTATAAGTGTAGTTCTACCAAACTCTGCTGTTGTTTGTTGCTCTGCTGTTTCATCATTTTCCAGAGGCGACACACACTGTCTTCCGACAGTCCGAGTCTTTGCATATGATGATTCAGACGACAATGATTTATAACGTGTACCCAACTCTTCAAACGGGCAAGAAATACATGAGAAGGCCTTGAAGAACATGCTTGAAACTTCATTCTGACTATGAATGTGAGCGCATGTAGAGGTTGGCTGATTTTATATTCAAACATGTATAAATATAACAGACATATAATCTTTCCCAATCAGATCATCTCACAGTATCTCTAATATTTCATAACGATGCAGTGAAGAGTGAATACTGCATCCGATCATGTTATTAAAAAAATGTATAAATATCATAGGTAATATTTTTGTATAATATTGACCGTCAAGAGAACTGATACTTAGAGAATCAACTTTAACAATTTGAATATTCTATGATGTTCATTATGTGTAAGTATTCCCGGAAATCTAGCAAGATAAATTTTGTGAAAAAATTAATGAAAAAATAATCTTTCACGTATAGTCAGTGGGTATACTTAAAGACTGGCTATAAACCAAATCATCTAAAAGAACAATTCATTCAGGCCAGTCTCAACACCCCTTACACAGTAGGTTAATGGACTGACACCTATCAGAAAACAACTACTCCCCTGGCTAATACCACGAAGGGAGTTGGATTATATCCGACAGGTGTCAGTGCAGGATTCTTCACTGAAGTTATTCCTGCATATGCTGTTGGCGATACAACTGCCGCAATAGATTTTCAATTATTGGAACACACTTGCAGATCGGTTTCGGGCTGTTAGAGTTACTTTTTTTCAAATTGATTAATCCTTCCTTTCTTTGGAAGATTCTCTCATCCATTTTTTTGTATCAGATGGAGTAGTAGAAAGCCAAAAACTTTCTTTCCCAAAAAATTAATCACTCCTAAAAATATAACCCTTTCAAATCATTCAAGACCTATATCAATTTGCAGCTCTATACAAACTATTGTGTATCGAAAGGTCTATTTTGAATAAAATTAAATAAAATGTTCACATCCATATTTTTATTTTCGAACATCCTTGTATGCTTATTAACTTCATATGTTTTCAAACAACTGAAATTCTTGATATTTTAGAACAAAGAGAAAAGTATACGTAATCAAATCTAATGAATCTTGATCAATTTTCTGCATTAAACCTGCTCCTATCAAACTTTCATTTGGCTGCTGGTCATTTGAAGTCATTGTGAATAAATAATTTTCTTATACTATTTGTCGCAGTTTTTCAGAAACTCTGAGTAGATTTTATCTTCTATTTCTTGAGGTTGAAGTATGAACAACAGATAACTAAGAAGTTTAAAGAGAACAAAATCCGTGCGCTAGTACTCGGAAAATGTGATCGAATGGAACCTTAAGTACCAAACGTTTCGTGTGATACTGCGTCAGTCATTAGGATGACTGCGAGGACGAAAGTTATATCTTGAATTCTCAGCAATGACTGACTGGTGAGCTACATATTCACTTGTATTCATAATTCCATAGAGCGGTGGGGGTGATGATATAATTGGTTCTGTGGCTGACGGTGGGAGCGATGGCAAGAAATTCATACAAATTCTAATTATCTGCATTCTCGTTGGTCCGCACTGTGACTAGGTTGTTCTGATTGGTCCACGTTGTTGGCAGGTATGCTACTGGTAGGATGTCGAACAGAGTTGTATTCTAGTCCATTTCTGGCCTTCTCGATTACTGGATACCTACCACATTTTTTTATCCCGTATACCTTCTTCTTTTCTGTTGAAATTGTTAGGATGCTTATAGATCTCAGTGGATTCCCTACGAAATTGTGCGCGGTAATGCATTGAATTACACATAACATCACTTTCTTCGTATTTCATTACATTGTCTGTTTCTACTAGGACATGTTGTGGATTTTTCCGGTTGCATGAGGCGGCAGCTATGCTTGTGTTTTTGTATCCTGGTGTTGATGCTGCGTTTGGTAGTTCCCTTGTTAACTCAGCCACACGAACAGGGAATCATGTAAACACCGGCGGAAGTCAGAGGTTCTCTCTTGTCGTTGGCCGATCTGATCATGTTGCGTAGTTGATTAGTCGGCTTATGAATGTTCTTAATGTTGTGACGTTTAAACAGTTTCACAATGTGGCAAATAGAATGTACCTACCACTGGCGGCTATATTGTAGACGAAATTGGAATATTTCTTCTCCTAAGATGTAGAGCACGTTTGATTTCTTGGGCTATGAAGCCATTGGCCTGTAAAGCTTGGTCTAGGTGACGAAGATCTTCAAGTGTGGTTGTCCAATTCTAGTGGCACAATCAACAAGTGTTTTCATTATAGCAGGCTATTGCTCTGAATGGTGGTACGTGTTCTTGTTGAGATAACGATCAGTATGAGTAGGTTAGCGATAAACTGTAAGACCTAGTTTTGCATCAGTTGATCCGTAGAAAAGAACATCTTAAAATGGTATCTTTCCTTTGCTTTCTTTTTCTCATGGTAAACTGGATGCGAGGATAAATGAAAATTATGTGGCGTAGTTTTTATGCTTGTTCCTCGTGGCTTCAAATAACGAAAGTGTCATCAACATGACGAAACCGTTTTGATGGAGCGATGCTGAACACTTTCTTCTCGAGAACTTTCATGTAGAAATTCATAAATAAAGTTATACTATTGGAAATATGTAGTGATGAGAACATGGTTGAAAAGAGCTCGGATGTCTCCTTTGAAAACTTGTTTCATCTGCTCCTTAGTCTCCTTGACTTGTACCATGATGAAGGGAGAAACGAAATCGAAACTAACCAGAATATCATTTGACTGCAGAATAAAAGTACTTATTTTCTCGGATGAAGTGAGGTGAGTTTCTGATGTAATTTTTATTTCCTACGTATGACTGCAGCAGGTTCGTTAGGTATTTCGCAAGATGATAAGAAAGTGGACCAATAGCGTTAACAAATGGTCGAAGTGGAAAGTTCGACTTGTGAATCTCAGGAAGGACGTAAAGTTTAGGTGGTAGGACGAAAATGGTGCTTGTCATCAATTGAAATCGAAGAATATTCGATGAGTTGTTTGACTTTCTGAGACCTTACCATCTACCAACTGATGTTCTGAATTCGTCGTTCAAGTTTTTCATTACGAAGATTTTCATTTTCTGTAAAACAATCAAGTTTCTGCCTGGGTGTCTGTCTACTGATATGATATTCGTATAAATTCATGTTAATTCCTTTGCCCAATTCCTCGTATAAGGAGGAATTGGGCAAATTTCGGATATGCAGTTGGTTACCTCGTTCACAGGCAGATGGGGCGACGACAAACCTGTTGTTTGTTGTAGACTTCAGCTTAGTTCGAGGAATGATACTCTGACGGAATTCGATTTTCAATTATCGGAAATCATCGACTTTATGTTGATAATTTACACTACCTTGCACTGACGAGTGTGTACCAATAATTGAAAATCTATTGCGGCAGTTGTAAAGCCAACAGCATATCCAGGAGTAACTTCTGAATCCTGCACTGACACCTGTCGGATATAATCCAACGCCCTTCGTGGTATTAGCCAGGGGAGTATTTGTTTTCTGATAGGTGTCAGTCCTTTAACCTACTGTGTAGGGTGTTGAGACTGGCCTGAACGAATTGTTCTTTCATATGATTTGAAAAAATAATATCAAATATATACACTATACATATAGTAGACAATAAATTTCGTTAGCTTTATATACTTTGAAGAATTTAGAGTAAAGGGCTTGCAGGAATCATAGTTATCTGATGATCCAAAGTATGATATGTCTTATTTACATTAAAATATTGTCACAAAGTAATTAGTGCAGTCATCCTATATTTAGTACGTTTGTTGTTAAATCATTTTGAATTCATTTTCTGATTTTAGTTTTTTTTTTAGACCTGGGCATCCAAGAGATGTTGCTGGTACTGTTGCATTTCTAGCTTCAGATGACGCATCATACATTACCGGAGAAACAATCATCGTTGGTGGAGGAGCCCTGTCAAGATTATAATGTATATATTTGAAAAATGTACATGAATTAATAGTAACTGGGTTGAATCGTATAAAAACTGAGAGTTCAAATTTCTGTGTTCTTCTTTCGAAGCTATCAGATTTTTGTCTAGTATTGAAACGATTTCATATTAGTAAGTTATATTCTAATCAAACAATTTCAAACAATGTCGAACAAGTCAAACGAATATTCCAACAGTGGTTCGTTGCAAAGCCAAGCCTCGACATATATCATCATGGTTCGAGTTTTCTGTTCCTTTAGATGACATAAGAAAGTCGTCATTACCTCTAATTATTGTTCGAGATTGTCCTTCTAACGATGAAAGAGTTCAATCACTGTATGCATGAAAGGACCACTAATAAAATCTATGACGCATCAAAATAGTACTGTCTAACACTGCATCATGGATACAACTTCTTTCTTTTGGAATATGGTACCAGGCATGCAGTGAAAGTTTCAGAACAAACAGGCAAGTTCCCTCTATCGTAACCGCCACTCCTTAGTCAAGATTGTCCCTGTTTAGGATAGAAGGAATCGAATGTAGCATCCCTGGCCCAGCCTACTACCACCGATGGCTCGAGTAGTTATTAAAACCTAACCAGAACACAAGCTAATGACCATATTAGCCAATGCTGTTGATATTGAAAAAATAGCTCCTTTTCTTCAATGGTGGGGTTATCACAAAAAATATATTACAAATAATGCATTTCAGCGATATTATAAAAGTAATTTAAACCTAAGTAGCAAGCGAGTGTATGAAAGCAAATACTTATACAGGGTGGATAATCAAAATAAAAAACCTAAATCCTCATACGTGTGTTTTCAAATGGACATAATTACATAATAATTCCATTACATCAACTCTTTGGAATACGGCATTCACCCTTATGTTTTCGAATGAGAAAGGGTGTGTTACAAAACATCTTTTGAAAAGGAATTTGCTATGAAATAACAATGTATTTGATTTAGGCGACGTACCGCCGAACAATGGAATTCTGAACATTTTTCTGGGCCTCGTATATACAGCGTGACTCACGGTCGATGGTAGGTTAGGCGTTTCTGGAAAACGCAAAGCATGATTTTTCTGAAAATTTCACCTCTCACATTTCCTTACCTGTTCTATCGATCTAAAATATTTTCAG